TCATAGAGATGTGTAACAGAATGAAGACCAAAATATATAAACTCCAACGTCAGTTACAGAGTACAAGTTGGGTCATAGAGGAATGTAACAGACTGAAGGCCGAGATAGATAGACATTGTATTCATGTTCTAGTGTTGCTATTTTAGGAGCACACTTTTTAATATTAACATAATGAATATTTTGTAGGTCAGACTCTTCCTCAGGTGCAGCACAGTCCCAGTCTCAGTCAAGAGAGGTCAATGGTCATTTTGTTCCAGACAAAACCATCAAAATCTGGGAGGTGAGATAATGAAACACTCTTTCAGTGTAAACTCCTAATTGTTAAAGATTTTTGCTTTATTGTCTTGGCAAAATGCTAAAGTCTTCTTCCTCTGTTATATATTGTACAAATACTGACAGCATGCTCTATTCTGTACTATAATAGTAGAGAAACTTAGATATGAATTTGAAGAATTAATATGTTCTATCTTTGAAGGCTGGTAACTGTCGTGTGATGTCCTACACTCCCTCCCTGGCCACACTTGTTGTCTCCCAGCCATCCTCCAGTCCCCTGTTTCCCGGATTTGGCTTCAAAAAGGCAAGATTCCATTCAATTTTGATCAGTCAGATATAAGACAAACAAAGAGCCCACTTGTACTAATTTTATATTAATATGTTCTTATTTAAAATTGATTCACAGATCAGCACTATGGATTTTAAGACCTCTCAGTACCTGACTATCCACAGTAAGGCAATCCGAGACTGTTGCTTTCATCCGTTTGTGGATGATGGAATCTTGCTGAGCTGTGGATTGGATAAGACGGCTAAAATGACAAGTGTCATCAGCAACACAGTTGTTCAGACGTAAGAACTGTTCAACCAGATTATTATTTGCAATAAAGATACTTGGTAGTCATTGGGTCAAGGAATTAGAAGAGGGGTATTTTTACTCTTTAGGGTTCATTGAATTGGTAATCGAATAAGAGAGATAAATCTTCATTGGATAAATGTCCATTATTCCATTATAAACTTGTCAAGAAGAAATGCCTACTTTGTCTAATTTTTGCCCACAGCCTATGCTAAAATTGTTTGCAATTTAGTTATGAAAACACTTTTTAGGAAAATCTTTCAGTATTCTTAATAAAACAACATTTTGTGTGAGTGAACAATGGGATAATAAATCATGTTTTCTGTTCTTTGACATTCATAGATAATACATATTAAAACAATTAAAGATGAGGAAAATTTTAATGATTAGAATATCAAATGAAAACCACCTCTACACCTCTACAATTTTTAACACCATTGTTGTATAGATATGATCTTCCCAATCCTGTTTGGAGCTGTGTATGGAACACAGATGATAGGAACTTTTTCTATGCTGGACAAGCTAATGGTAATGTGATGGAGTTTGACATTCGGAACACCTCTGAACATGTCCAGGAACTGAACACTGAGGGCATGAGGTCACCTGTCGTCTCCTTACAGTACATTCCAAAAGACATCCAAGCTAGCTTCAGGTAGTTTCAAAAATTTTGGTTATTTGTTTACTATATAAAATATTTGAATACTTCTCGATTTCCCATGGGAAAGAATTGTTTGAATCCATTTATAGACTAGAATCATCAACATTAGTAGGGATGGGTATCGCCAAAAATTTCGTATCGCGATATATCACGATTTTTTCCCCACAATATCACGATAATATCATGATATTCTTAAAAGCAGTTTTTACAATGATTTTATATGAAAAGTCATTATTTTTCTAAAAAATATGCTAGAAAAACAAAATTTTACTTTCTTGAAATTTTTTGTATATAAAATCAATTACGTTTGACGGTAAGATGCCGTTCCTTTCACTTTTCACAACATTTTTTATACTTTCTGTAATTGTAATTTGAAAGATTGAACAAATAAAGGAATAATTTCTGGACTTTATAATATGTACCAAAAAACCGGTATTTAGGTCTCTGTATCATGATATGTATCATGCAGCAAAAAATCGCGATATACCGGTATACCGATAAAATTGCACATCCCTAAACATTAGTGATAAATGATTGATTTTTGACATCCATACTGAACTACTCATGAAACAAAACTTTATATAAACTCTTACAGAAAAACCTGTTTTGAATAGATACTGGAAACTGATCAATACTCTTTAAGACCTGATATTTGTAGCATTTTGTAATGCAACAAATGGGTTGCTCTTTTCTCATTCATCGTGATGAGTCATTTTGTAATTTCTATATACTGAATTCCTCTCTTTCTAGACCCGGTGGTTTAGTAGTGGGACAGCTGAATAAGATAAGTTTCTATGAGAAGAAACAAGACAACCAGTACAGGCTACATATGTTACCGTTAGAGGGTAAGAAATCTCCCATGGTGTGAAAGCAGGTGTAGTAGGAGGGAAAGAGGAGGGGGTGGTTCGTTATAAATTTGCTTTAAGACATGGAAGTTGCTTTAAAACCTTTCCTTATGTACTTTACCTTTTGTTCTATCTTTGGATCAGGAATTTTATATTGTTTAGTGTGGAAATTTAGGAAAACCAAAGTGAATGTGATATAACTCTTTCATTTAAGCAAATAAACAAAACAGAGAACAAAACTGTGCAAAAGCAACATATTTTGATTGATTTTTAGCAAGCTATTATGTAATTTGTTTTTCAGGTAACTTGACAAGTCTGTGTTTTGAGAATCACACAAGGCACCTGTTGGCCAGCTTCAGACCAACATCCAAACACCCAACAGTTAGACACCAGGTAATTAACATCCAAACACCCAACAGTTAGACATCAGGTACCTAAGCATTGAAATACCCCATGATAAGACATGGGTAGCTAATATCTAAACACACCAGGTTATTTCATTTTGACCATGACCTTTATTTTGGTAGCTATGTGAGATGACCTGTGTGAACCTCAGTGCTGACCCCGCTGTTATTGACAATGGCTGTAGTTGTCATGTGATACAGACATTCCACGGCAGCCAGACGCAGACGGTACTGACACGGACACTCCTAATGACTCACCCAGCAGACGACAGCAGGATGTTAATCTGTGCCGGAGTGGAGACAACCTCAGGGGTAAGTATTGGTGTCTGGATAAAATCTCTGGCTAAATACTGCATTATGGGTAATTTTATATGGAGGTGTCCAATGTTTTCTTTGTTTTTTGTTCAGACAGAAGCCCTAAGCTATGAATGTCTCCTATTTCCATTATTGCTACATACCAGTATAAATGTCCAGTTAAGGCCATAATAAAAATATTCCTAGATTCTCATCCCCGCCCGCCCCGATTTTAAACCCCCGCCTCGATTTTTTTTATTTCTGTTTTTCTTCGTCTTAATTCTGATCGGGATCGGTATTCATCTCTGCTACCATTCTACTTTCATTTTAAATCCCGCGAATGTCAACATGATTTTGACAGCTGAAAAGATTGTAATTGCTGTAATACATGTATATATATTTTAAACAAGGGTCATTGGTTGAAAAAGATTGGTGGTGATGTAAAGTAAGAGATAATACAACCTTTACTGACTTTTATTCTGGTTTTATAGATAAAATTACACCAACTGACTAGGTCAATAAAAAATCTGCAAAATTGAAAAAATAGAAAATATAAAATAAAAGCCGCCCGCCCGCCCCGATTTTTAAAAAAAGTCGGATGAGAATCTAGCAATTTATTTATTATGGCCTAAAGAAAGAAATAAGTTACTTTTAAAAAAAGAGATGTGAAAAAATTTAAATGTATATGTATTTATGAGGAAGTTTTATGATTAATGTTTTTAGGTCCACATTTGGGATACATCATCTGGACAGCTTGTTCAGCGGTTACCAGCTGGTGGTATTGTGGTGGACACTTGTGCCATGTCAATCAACCAGCAAACGTATCTAGCTGCACTGACAGAGAAAAACCTCAAAATTCATCGCTGGTGCTGATTCCCTTGAATACCTCAACCGACTTTTGAATCTGAGTTTCGGTCCAAGGTTTAAAAATCACAGCTTCTCTTCTGTGTGTCAGAGTAGACAGAGGGCTGTTTTTTCATATTGAATGTAGTGAAGAACAATAACTCTAACACTGAACTGTGATATTAACAGCCAGTTTAACAAGATGGTCCCAGAAGTGTTCAATAAGTACCTTGTCTTTCAGAATAAGAGTATGAGTGACTGTGCATGTATTGGTAGTAGTATGTTTAATCCTGTAGTCAAAAAAAAAAAAAAATACAGGCCCCAAGAAAAAGAAAATAAAGAAGATTGTGTTCAAAATATTATGCACTTCATATATTTTTTTAATTAAGAGATAGTTTTTAGTTATCATGAATGATCAATATTCAGATTTCTTGATGAGTAACAAAGCAAAAGAAAGAAAATATTTCATTTTGACTTCTTGATCAGAGACAGGGTAAAAACAAAATAAAACCCCCCTTTGGATTTAGATTAGTGGAGTCACTCATGTTGTCATGCACTATCATTTGAAAATTTTCAGCCCTTTCTTTGGAACTTCGGACCAATTTTAATATATTTTGGCATATGGCATCTATGTGAATGGGAACAAATTTAAAGAATTTTAATCTTTCAAATTCTTTCCTAGTACTTCTGGATATCAAGCAATACAGCTGTTGGTATGACTGTAACAAGCATTGACCCCTCTACCAAAATTAAGAAATTCATGGCCCCTGGCTCAGGGTTTCTATATTGATCATAAAGTGAAAATGTATTTTTCTTTCTGTAGAAAATTTTTTCTTCTCCTTTGTATGTTCAAAGCAAAGCAATTGAAATATCCAAATATGCTTATATTTAAATTCAACATATAACCAGCACAATGACTTAATCTTTTTTCATATTTTACCAGTATTTGTACTTTATTACATAAATAGAGTTCATTATGTACATATATACAAAAGTAGCTGCCTTTCCCACGAAATTTATTGCAGAATTTGAGTTACAACATGTGGTGCACTTTCTGCAAATTATTTTCCTGCAAGAGAAGACACTAAAAATGTGAATATTACAAAACGCAATGAAAAGATATTATTTTGGTTACATGTATATGTTTGAAGAGTTTTTAACTATGCTTGCTTATCATTTGAAGTATTCTTGTCCAGACTTACCAAAGCCACCGAATTTGATGTTGAGATAATTCGGCATGTTATCATCTTCATCTCTTTTATGGTTGGCTTTTTTCTTCAGGAAAGTAGAGACCACTTCCTCAATTGTCTTCACTGATATTGCCTAGAGAGAGATAAGAAAAACAAACTTTCTTCAAAGAGCTAAGTTATGATGTTTTAAGAAACATTTATCTACTGCGACACGGGAAGTCGGTTTTTACGGTCTCGTCCAAAGGACTATTCTCCACGTTCTACAGTGGGATTCGAACCCGTGACGTAGGGGTCTCACTTCGCGACTTTAAAACAGACGATCTAACCACTGTGTCACACACCGACTTTTGTAATTGTGACGTGATGTACAGTCAAGCCTCATGATCTCAAACTCTACGTATCAAAGATAAAACAGATCGAGATAACAAGGCAAAAACCCAAAAGAGAGAGGGGCTGCTAAATGCACTTCAAATACCCCTGGCATGGGAGATATCGGTATTCGAGATAAATAAGTTTAACTGTAAATTTTGTTTTGCTGTACGTGTTATCATTATGTTTTTCACTGATACAAGTAAACATAGAATTTACAACTTAGACTTCAAAAACAATGTCCCTAGTACACAATAATACTTTGATATCCAAATGTAGGCATGTACTGCCTAACTAATAGTAAAAAAATCTTTTAAACAAAAACATATAGATATTTAGATCATTGAAATATTAATGTGATTTTGGCATTTTGACACTTTTTGATTTTACTATATTATACATACACCTGTGCCGTTATAGTTTTGTAGGATTGTCCTCATAACATCTCCCAG